ATTAATCTTTTCAGACCACATAACAATGAAAATTTCCATGTGAGCTTTTGCATCCCTGGCATTGATAAGTAAAGAACGGTGGCTGGGTTTGTGTTTACTTTTCATTTTGTTTAGAGTACAAAATATACTTTGGGGTCAGGCTTTCTTTTGAGTATTTATATATATTTTCAGCATAGCAAACTTTGAGAAAACTTTACTGAAAAATTTTCCTTGATCCTGTTGTATTTTAATTATTCTGTCTGTGTTGTTTTGTCTTGGGATGTTTATGTGCTACAAATGAAACTTAGTGTTGAGGCCAGTGTTTTGAAATATCCTAGAGATACTTTGTGGCTCATAGGATCTTTTGCAACTTTATATATGTAAATCTATCCTGAATTATATGCATGTGTGCATGGGCATGCACACACACACACACAGAGAGAGAGAGAGAGAGAGAGAGAGAGAGAGAGAGAGAGAGAGTGAGAGAGAGAGAGAGAGAGAAGCCCAATACATGAAATTCGTGCATTGGAAGTGGGGGGTCCCCTCAGCTTGGCCTGTTCCCTCTTAGTCTGGGAGCCCTGCCATGTAGGTGGGAGAGGATCCTGCCAGCGCCACTGCACTCGCCAGCTATGAGCCTGGCTCAGGGCTTCTGGCTGAGTGGTACTCCTTCTGTGGGAACACACTGACCACCAGAAGAAAGCTCCTGCATTGAATTTCTGCCCCCTTGTGGTCATTGTGCATCATTGCGACTGGTTGTTCTGTCGTTCGGTTGATTTGCATATTAGCCTTTTATTATATAGGACTAGAGGCCCAGTTCACGAAACTCGTGCATTCAAGGGGGAGGTTCCCCCAGCCTGTCCTGCACCCTCTCACAGTCCGGGAGCCCTGAGCAGGCCCAAGCCAGCAGTCGGGCATCCTTAGCGCTCCCACCACTGGCGCTGTACTCTCCAGCTGTGAGCTTGGCTTCTGACTGAGCGGCACTCCCCTGTGGGAGCACACTGACCACCAGGGGGCAGCTCATGCGTTGAATGTCTACTCCCTGGTGGTCAGGGTGCGACATAGCGACTGGTCGTTCTGTCGTTCAATCAGTTTTCATATTAGCCTTTTATTATGTAGGATATCCTATCTAATAAAGACAGAATATGAAAATTGACCATCTCTCCTCCACAAATATGGTGGTGGTTGGGCAAGGACGTTGCACCCCGCCCAGCTGCTCCAGGCCTCTGGGCTGTGCACATGCACAGGCATGGAGCAGTGCGTGCGGGACGTCTGCTGGGGGATGGGATGCAGAGGTGGAGGAAATTAAAGGAGGGCAGCAGAGCGAAGGCAAAGGCAGAAGGCAGAAGGAGGCGGCCAGAGCGAAGACCTGGGCTTCAGGTGCCAGAGAGAAGCTGGTGCCGGCAGCCAGGGGAAGGAAGGCCTATTCTTGCTCGAATCTTCGTCATTGGGCCTCTGATAGATTATATGTATCTGAGTGTATTGCTTATTTTACATATTTATACACACAACCCCAAGTTTTAGTTGTTTAAAATCTATAATGAGAAGTATTAAATTTACAACAATATCAAAGATGCAGAGATTTATGAGGACATTTTGTAAATAATGCTCTTCAGGGAGACTGACTACTCAGATGATGAATTAAAAGGAAAATTAGGACACTGGTATTTTAAAGCAAAAAGGTATCTTCTTTTCAGTATCTTTGGTAACTGAAAAATAGAAGTTAAGATTTTTCTAGATAGTATATTTTCATACAACTTAAGCTCCAAGCCTTCTGAGAAGCCCCTGAGGGAACTCTGTCACCAGCTAGAAAAACTAAGGAAGCTACAGCTCCACAGAGATCAAATGCTAATTATGATTTACACTTGGCAAGTTCAGTTTACTCTGTTATTTCTCAGTAATAGTTAGGAAACTTTCAAAAGCTTAATACACAAGCTGGCCTTGATTGGAACATAAGATAAAGGTTTGCTTAAGGGCATGAGTAGAATTTAAGGCCTTAGAATATCCCAATGTCTTTCACTGTTTTGTTTTTCTTTGAAAGTTGACTTTTTTTAAAGTAAATAGTTCTGACTCAGTTATAAATACATAAAATGGACACAGTTCATTAGAATGTGATTATGTTAAGATAAATTTTGGAGAACAGAATCAAGTATTCTAAGCTGGTATGAACTCCAAATTGAATGCCAATCAAAACCAAAGCATGGGCCGGTCCCAATGGGAGCTCCTGTGCCCTTTTGGCCTTCCTAACATGCTTTTTTTAAATAAATAAATAAAAGTAACTTAAAATTGTTTGATTCATTACCCTGTAGTACTATCCTTGAAAGCTCTGGTATTTTTGGGAGTACCTTTAAAAATCTCCCATATTTTTTTGTCCTGGCTGATGTGGCTGTGTTGGTTGAGCTTCGTCCTGTGCAACAAAAGATCACCAGTTCAATTCCCAATCAGAGCACATGCCCAGGTTTTGGGTTCAGTCCCTGTTCCAGGTGTGTACCTGAGGCAACCAATCAGTGTTTCTTTTTTCTCTCTCACCCCCTCCCTCCCTCTTCTTTCCTCTCTCTCTAAAATCAATAAAAACATTTTAAATCTCCCTTATTTCTTTATTTTTCCCAAAGTTAATGTAAAACACTTAAATAAAAGTGGAAATTTATTAATTTTAAGACAGCGTGTAAAATTAATTTAGAAAATATAATTGGTCATCTAATTATATATTTTTAAACATACTGAAATATAAAAAACACTTTGGTTTTATTTTACACACTTTATATTTCTCTTCATAATTTAGAATCATACACAGTTCTTTTCTTTTTGAAGAAAAATATTGAAATCTTTAAAAGGTACTTAAGGGTTTGATCAAGTGAATATAATAAAATATATTTGTATAAAGAAAAAATGAAATTGTAGTCACTATTATATACTGACATTAGTTATAACCTAGTTTTACTTCTTAAAACAATTTTGATTAGCAAAGCTAAAAAAATGAATGTTTCAGTTAAATGTTTTAAAGAGGTCCAGATTTTTACAAGGACATAATATAAGTTGTTATTCTATAGAACTTTCCTATTAAATGTTATATAGCCCTCCTTCTGTACACTTTATTTTTAAAAAGGTAAAATGCAGAAAAAAGAAAATCATATAGGGATGTATGACATTATTGTATTGTGTATTTGCATATAACATGCAAAAATAAATATCAGACTATTTTCCTGTTAAGTAAATAAATATAAGTTTATCTTATCTGTGAATAGATCTTTTGGCAATTGGTAGGTTGTTTCTGGTAAGAAGTGAAAGACCAGCCTTCTGGGCGCTCAGTTGGTTGAGTGTTGTCCTGTATACCAAAAAGGTTGTGGGTTTGATTTCTGGTCAGGAGGCAACCAAGTAATGTTTCTCTCTCACATCAATGGATCTCTCTCCCTTCCTCTCTAAAATCAATAAACATATCTAAAGGTGAGGATTAAAGAACAAAGTGGAAAGGATAGTCAGAAGCCTATAAGCTGCTTTATGTACACAGCGACACTTTCGTTTTAGTGCAGTGCAGTGCCATCGGTAAGTTAGTCCCGGGAACCTAGACTCAGTATCTAGGCAGAACAATGCTGAGAGTGCTACCCTCGCTTTTTAGAAATCCAGTCATTGGACATGGTTTCCCCACATTCAACTTTGTTGTATAGCAAGCATGTCAAACTCAAGGCCCACAATGAATATTTTTGCAGCCCAGCCAATATAACAGTATGTAAGAAACATTTTTTTAAAATATATATTTTATTGATTTTTGTACAGAGAGGAAGGGAGAGAGATAGAGAGTTAGAAACATCAATGAGAGAGAGTCATTGATCAGCTGCCTCTTGCACACCCCCTACAGGGGATATGCCCACAAACAAGGTACATGCCCTTGACCGGAATCGAACCCGGGGCCCCTCAGTCCCCAAGCCGACACTCTATCCATTGAGCCAAACCGGTCCCGGCAGTAAGAAACATTTTAATAAAAATTTTGTAATTTAATCCTTACAATATCCTGTTATACATAATTATTAATAACGAACTACAACGTTCGCTAATGACTGATCACTATCATCATGTTGCATGATTTCCCTTACACTCCTTACACACAGGCGCACCATTTCTCTCCACTAATACTGGCAGCAAATATTTTAGCAGCCGATGGCCACATCATTAATCTTGTACTGACTTGTTTGGTGTGAGCTTTTCAGAGAACAAGAAAAAATAGGTTTATTTGCATTACGCTTATTAATTTATGCAGTTATTCAGTGGTAAATTAATGTTCAAGAAGAAATACTAACTTTTATTAAAATGTTCTATTTTATGTTAATGATTACTCATTTATTTCAGCTCTTTCTATTCAGCATGTCTCTATCAAAATAAACCTATGTTTCTATGAAAATAGAAGCTTTTGTTTTTTGCAGCCCACATAAACTTAACCTTGTTTATTTGGCCTGTGTTAGCCTTTGACTTTGACATGCTTGTTGTGCATACATATGGGTCTAGCCAGTGGCCAGGGACAACGGGGGTTGGGGGGGCATATCTAGGGAGGGGTTTGGGATGGGAATGGGGGAATAAGGACAATTATGTGAGACCATAATCAATAAAATAAAAATTTAAAAATTTTAAAAAAGAAAGTAAAATGCCACTGATGTGTTCATATACTAAATATATACATATATATAACTAGCACCCAGATCAGAGGCCAGAATAAGAGAAGCATCCGAGAGAAGCCCTCACTCCGTTTTGCTCCCTTCTGGTCTTCCTTCCCCACCCCAACCCCAAGAGTTTTCAACTCATTTCTTTTCACCTATCATACTAACGCCAAAACTCAAAATAGAAGTAGAACCACCCGTTAGGAAAACAATATTTAATATATTCAACTGAAAACCTGCATATGAATTATTGGAAGGGAAGTGTGATAATTGGGAAGGCCATAGAGAGAATGTGAAAATAAAAATAAAAACTCTTCTAAATAAAAAACTCAGTTTGAAAGCTTCTAACTCATCTGTCGTCTCATCTCCTTTTAGTTAATTGCAGAAGGAAAATGGATCAAGTTTGAAAAAACAACTTACATGGATCCTACTGGTAAAACGAGGTAAACTATATTTTTTCTTTTGTAAAATGCTTGGTATTGAAGGTTCTCAAGTTCTCTATTTAGTGTTTGGCATAAACTTTGATATTTTCTTCATTGGAAACTATGTTATAGAGAAATATAATTTAGCTGTTTTCTTATTGTTAGAATGTTTGAATAACTTACAATCTATGCATGTTTATAAATTTATAAACTTGTTACAATAACTAGTCAGGTAGTTATTTTAACACCATTCCCCCCAAGTAGATTAATGTGAACCTAAAACTTTTGGGACAAGGCTAATTTAAGCTGATAAAGCAGCAAAATCGTTAATAATATTCCTTTTAATTAAACCAATTCTAACCTTTAAATTAGAATTAAAGAGGAAACATTGTGTTTGAGGTAAAAGTTACATGCTTAAACCTTGCTCATGGAAATGTAAATTGGAAAAGAAAATCTTTCATAAAGCATTTCACAACATGTACCAATTGCCATAAAGATATGGTTGGGGGCGGAGCTGTTTAGAGCCAGGTCACCATGGGTTCTGAGACTGTGCTAAGAAAACTATTTGCAATCAGTTTTATGCCTAAAGATGTTCACCAAAACTAAAAAAAAAAAAAAAAAAAAATTGATAGCAACCTAAACTTTGTAAATATAAGGGAATAATTATTTTAGTGTATTCATTTTGTAAAATCCATGCATCCATCCACAAGGCAGATTATGAAGACAACCCAGCAATATGAAAAAAAAATTAGTAACTTGCTAACAAAGTAGAAAATTATATATATGCTTTTTAAACTCTGTCAAATGATATGTAAGAAAAAACTAGAGTCCTGGCCAGTGCGGCTCAGTGATTGAACCAGGAGGTCACGGTTAAGGATTCCCGGTCAAGCCATATGCCTGGGTTGCAGGCTCAATGTTCACTTCCAGTCTTCCTCACATAGGCCTTCCTCGTGGCCTCCAAAGAGGTCTTCCTGAAGCAGTGGCATTTCATTTTTCATTAGAAGAATGGAGTTCTGTACTTTGCAGTAGGCCACAATTTATAAATTTATAAAATGTTTTATATGTTACCTGATACAGAAGCATGTACATGAGGAAAAATCGCAGCGAGAGAATCCTTTGTTTCACTGTGTGACTCATGGAAGAGGCTGTGAAATTAATTTTAGAAGTATAAAAGGATGCTGGCATTTGCCCTCTTGTGGCCTTCCTATCTCTTGTGTTGGTTGACTAAAGAGAGGAAAACAAAACAGGATTTCCTATAACAAAGACTAAAAAATGAAATAACTTTCATTAGAATCAAAATTCTAAAGTTACAAGAGGTTAACGAGATAACATGCTCTTAATTCTCTAGCTTTGTAAATGAGAAAACTCTCAAGGAGGTTGTGGCTATGGGTTAGCTGGTAGGTAATTAGAGACTAAGATTTTCTTACTCAGCCCAATGTACACATCTTAGAGTCCCTTTAAGACAATAAGAGTCTTCATGGGGCATTCTTGTTCTATTGTTTGTTATAAATGCACTTGTTTTATTGCTTATAATTGATGGCTTATTACTGCTTATTTATCTCATCTTAACCACTATAATGATGCTACTCTTTTTCCCTTATTCCTAGTGTATTTGGGATGGGACCCTCAGTGCTTTTCCCAGCACTGTCTTCTTCAGTCCTTAGGACTAATCTTAAGAGGCAGCAGAGAGAGCTATACCAAAAGGTGTTATGTCTCTTGCAATCTGTGTTACTGACATCAGAATTGCTTATGGTTGGCTTCTTGCTACTAACAGGAATGTTGGGCAGCTGTGAGTTGTCATAGTCATCTTTGATTTTCATAGGTTCATTTTAACGTTTTTGCCCTGTAAAATGTGGATACAACATTGAAAGATCTAGTTTACAGAAAGTTGTGTGTTTTTAACTAGATTAAGTATCTGAATTTTTTTCAAAATATAAGTGTGGCATGACCACACCTCAAACCAGACACAAAGTATGAGGCTTGCTCCAAGTAACAAATCTTATGCTCACTGTTACTGTAATGAGACGTTGACGCCTTTCTTATCCCAGTTCCCAGAGCCACGTCAGGTGTCTCCTTCACTCCCCTCTCTTACCACTGCTTTTTCTTATTTAAGGAATGAGAGTGAAGGGAGAATTTTTCTCATATGCCCTTCCCCCTATAAACAACATGATTGTTCCAATAACTGGATTTTCAGTACAATGTTCTTCTGAAACAAATAGCTAATTAGGAAGGAAGTCTTAAACAGCAGCAAGAACCTTCTGTTACCTCATTTTCCTCTAGGGATATTTTCCTCTTAGATAAGATGTCACACACATATAATAGAGCACTCTCCTAAATTTAAGGATTCCTCAGTTAATAAATAGAAAGGTCTTGCTTTCCTAAATTGTGTATTTTAGGTTGCAGATTTTAAAATCTAAATTGTATAAATATCCAACTCGTTCTCATTATGCAGAGTACCCTTTTTTCATGGGGGCTTATTGTGCACACACACACTGCTTAACAGCTTCGAAAGCCATTGTCACCAACCGTGCTGCTCCCTGTAGATTTATGATACAAACTAAAGTATTTTGAGTATTGACTTGAAAGGCAGCTCAAGTGACAGCACCCAGAGAGCTAAATGTTCCATAGCAGGTTTTCTTTGGTCCTTCTCAAAAGCTGTAAGACAGCACAATTGGCTTTTTAAAACAATACATATCTGTACTGCTTGGTCTTGTCGACCATGTGTACATTTGCATGCTCTGCATTTGTAAAGTACTTGCTGTACACACAAAACCTAAGAGTATTCTCCTCTTTGGCATTAATGATTTTGTTTTTTCTTCTTTGCCTAAATAGAACTTGGGAAACTGTGAAACGAACAACCAAGAAAGGACAGTCAGCTGATGGTATGAGTGCAAACCTATTATAACTCTTCCTAAGAGAAGTTACCACACATTATTGTAGTAGGCAAGGTGCAGGAGGGTTGTGTTTTGCTTTGGTTTGTCACCAAGATCTCAGGGCAGAATGATCTTCAATTATGATCTTTTATCTTTAAATTTAATATTTGTTTTTGTAATACTGTGTAACTAAGTAGGGCTTTCTTTATAAATAACTTCTGGCTCCTGTTATCTAAGCTCCACACAGTGTTTTTGAGGGAAAGATGTACACTAATATTTATAGCCAGACACAAATCAATAGAATTTGAAGCAACATACTGTGTCTAGATCTGATATGACTCAGAAATCCTTTGTATTCTGTTCAAAGGATCTAGGTGAGAGCCTTAATTTTGGAAAACTTATTTGCACTACTTCCCACTCTCATCCATGTGGTTTATAGCTGATTAGAGGCCCGGTGCATGAATTCGTGCACCAGAGGGGTTCTTCAGCCTGGCCTGTGGGGTCGGGCCAAAACTGGCTCTCCAACAACCCCCAAGGGGTCCTGGATTACAAGAGTGTGCGGGCCAGACCGAGGGACCCCACCTGTGCACGATAGAGGCTGGGGAGGGATGCTGGAGCTTGGCCAGTTGGGAAGGGACCCCTGGAGGACTCCAGGGAATGTCCAGCCATCTCACTCAGTCCCAATCGCCCAGACTCCAGCAGCAAGCTAACCTACTGGTTGGAGCATCTGCCCCTGTTGGTCAGTGCATATCGTAGCAACTGGTCAACTGCCCCCTGGTGGTCAGTGCACATCATAGCGACCTGTTGAGTGGCCTTAGCATATCATTAGCATATTATGCTTTGATTGATTGAACAGTTAGCCAGACACATAGCATATTAGGTTTTTATTATATAGGATAAGGAAATGGGATTAAGAAACAATTATTCATTCAGTTTACCCTCCCAAGAATGAATGGTTTGACTGCCAAGGTCCCAGAAACAATCCTGAAATTCACCTCTGGTCTAGGGCCGTGGTCGGCAAACTGCAGCTCGCAAGCCACATGCAGCTCTTTGGCCCCTTGAGTGTGGCTCTTCCACAAAATACCATGGCCGGGGCAAGTCTATTTTAAAGAAGTGGCGTTAGAAGAAGGTTAAGTTTAAAAAATTTGGCTCTCAAAAGAAATTTCAATCGTTGTACTATTGATATTTGGCTCTGTTGACTAATGAGTTTCCCGACCATTGGTCTGCGGTTTTTCCCAAACTTTTGACATATGTGTACTCCTTCTATAATTTTCGTAATGCTGAGTACCCCTCGTACTCATGAGAACGTAGAATTAGGTGCAGCTAAGCACGGTGCAGTGCATATCCCCACCAAACTCCAGTGCAACACGTACCCCCACCAAACTCTTCCCGTACCCCTGGGGGTACGCGTACCACACTTTGGGAAACACTGGTCTAGGGGAATTTAGAAAATACATCTTTCTTTTTCCCTTTTATTTTTCCATTCTGTTCCTGTTTTTTATTGGAAGCAAACAGTACTTGCATGGTGCTGTCTTCCCAGCTGGGAAGGTGTTGGCGGGGGTGGGAGGGTACTTCTGGGCAGTTTGTGTTTTCTAGGACCCAGTGGGTTTTTGTTTTTGTTGTAAGACCAGGTAATTCACTTGATCTATAAACAACATGGAAGTGTGAGTGCTTGTTCTTTAACTACTTTTTTTAAAATCCTCACCCAAGGATATGGTTTTCATTAACTCTAGAGAGAGAGGAAGGGAAAGGGAAAGAGAAATATCAGTGTGAGCGAGAAACTTGATCAATTGCCTCACACACCTGCCTGACCGCAGCTTAACCCACAACCTGGGTATCTGCCCTGACCAGGAATCAAACCTGTGACCCTTCAGTGGATGGACCAACACTCTAACCACCTAACACACCAGCCAGGGATACTCTATAATTAATTTCTAAGTGAGAATAACTTCCAAGTTCACTGCCAGTACTGTAGCTTTTAACTCCCTGTTGCTAGTGGCTACAGTAAGGTAGATTTCTGATGCAGCATTTCTTAAAATATGGGATTTTAGTTAGATTGCTGTAAACAGATTGCTATAAACAGACTGACCTTTCATTAGAGACTTCGTCTTATTTCCTGGTGACAGGTGTGGTGATTATCCCAGTACTGCAAAGAACTCTTCACTATGAATGTGTCATTCTGGTGAAACAGTTCCGTCCACCCATGGGCAGCTACTGCCTGGAATTCCCTGCAGGTGAGTCTACACACAGGGAACAGAACTGCTTCTTGGGACTGGTCGGGCAGAGCCTGAGTACTGCAGAGTTTAGACATTTAAACCTTTGTATCTGTCCCTGGGCTTCTAAGTTCAGTAAAACCATTTCTGTAGTGCAGCACCTCCAGCCACACACTCCTGGTGCAGTAACCCATCGAGGTGACAGAAAGGCGGTGTCACAGCTCACCTTCCCAAGCCACCTTCCCTCCTTTCCCACATTCTTTCTAGCTCTTTGAGTAATTGCTTTTTGCTAATTAGTCAATTTACTTCATCTTCTATCACTAGCAATCTGCCTCTGACAAGCAATGTATAGTAATAACTAGGCCAGACTCCAAAAACGATGAATGGAAAAGATATCTTGGCCTTCCCGGATGTATGTAGACCAAATAAATTGTTTTCATTTCCACTAAAATATCTTTTCAGTTGCACAGTAAGTTAAGCTATCTAGAACTTATGCAGTGTATTATTATAGGATTTAATTGGTTTGTTCCATCAGAAGAGATTAGATCTCATTTATCATTCGTGGTTTAAGTTTTATATTTTTAAACACCATCCCATTCTGTAATTAACTTTATTTTCTCTCTCATTTACTTACCATTTCACTAAGGAATAGCCTATATTTCACCTTTCTTTTTGCAATTTTTATTCCTTTCAGGAAAATGACTCAGAGTTGCTACTGCCCTCCTCCCACTTGACCTCTCGCCACTTACTTCTCACAGTGACCACAGTGAAGTCCACCAGCCTTCGCTTCTGTCCTTTCTGTTCTTCTTCCTCAGAAGTGATCTTCATCTTGGCGTTTCACTGCAGGGTCTCCACATTATTCTGTGAGGGAGGAAAGTGGGATAGGTGACAACTGTCCCCATCTAACATGAGAGGAAACTGAGTTAATAGGCTTCCTGTGCTGTAGACACATAGCTAGGTCCAAAACCTGGACCAGTCAGCACCACCAAGCCACTTGTCCTCACAGTCGATGCTGCCAATGTTCTTATTAGTTATGCTGCCTATTAGTTAGTGCTGAGATGCTTGGAAAACAATCTAGGTCTAAGTAAGAGAATAGATGGGGACTGTCAGAACCAACTTAATCTGCCCAGGGTTTCATGCTTTTGTCCTTTTTTTTTTTTTTCCTATAAAAGTTCCAAACCTCAGCTTTATCTGTAAGACCACTTTTCACAATCCTCTGATTCTTCTCACGTAGCTCAGCAGCAGCTGTGTTAGGAGAGGATCAAAGAAAAGTGGACTTCCGCCTCCCACCTCACAAATGATTTGGACTTCCAGGTCTCATAGATGATAACGAAAGCCCCGAAGCAGCTGCTCTGCGGGAGCTGGAAGAAGAAACTGGCTATAAAGGTGATGTTGCTGAATGTTCTCCAGGTTTGTATTGCTTTCCAGGGGTGCACTTGGGACAGTAGATTCTTCTGTGTATAAAAGGATTGATTGATTGGGTGTTCTTTATGGGAAGAATTCAGATAAATTTTATTTCAGCTAATTCACTGAAGAGAAATCATAATTAGATTTGGGCACGTAAACTTCCCATCTCCTCCAAATGAGAGGAAGTGTGAACAGAAAGGACCTGAAACTGGAGAAGAATTAGGAAATTGTGTTGCCTTCCAGAGTTTCTCACATCTGAGCTTTTTTATATTCATACCTTATGCACATGCCATGCTCCTTTGGAGATTTTTTTCTTGATGTAGTAAAAGGATTTACATGTCAGTAGGACCATCTAACCCCTCAGACTTACTTACCAAATGTTACGCAGGAACTCTGGGGAAAACATGAATACTGACTACTTCTATGCTCTACAGCCCTACAGCATATACTGACTAGAATTAAACTAGTTTTCATGTATAAATTCTGTGTTAAAGGAATTATGAGACCAGTCTTCTTCCAAAGACATTTAAGTCATGAAACATGACATCTGACTGATGTCTGTAAAAATGACCTGCTGCTTCTCTCCATAGCTGTATGTATGGATCCAGGTTTGTCAAACTGTACCACACACATCGTGACAGTAACTATTAATGGAGATGAGGCTGAAAATGTAAGACCCAAGCCAAATCCAGGTAAGTGAGCTACATTGAAGGTAGATGAACTCCATTAAATATCATTTAACTTCTAAGTTACTACAATAGATTGATTTTTGATTGGTCAAAAGAATAATTGTCTTTTGCAGAAGCTTCATGAGTATTCCTGGCTATTTTCATAATCTTGTGTATTTTAGCATTATTCTTTTACCTATTTTTATGATTTCTTAAAATGTTAAATTACACATTTCCATATTTTCTGTATGAAGCTAAATAGTAAACACTGAAGATCATCAAAATCACTGATTTATATCTTCATATTTATAGGAATGGCATAAGTAATTATTACAGAACAGCAGCTTAACTCTTAGAAAAGCTTTCAGTAAATTCTTTGCTCTCTATTTCTTTGCAAGTTTGGAATTAGAAGCTTTAATGCCTCAGTTCCTCACCACCCCCTCAAACAAGGTGATCATACATACATCATAAGAAATCCTGTATGAGAGTGATGCCTTCCATTTCCCATCCTTTAGTTGTTCCTAAATGCTTTGGCATCCCATTGTGGCTTATTTTAAATGCTTGATTTTTTAAAGTAGCAAATTGATGTGGCAGTAACACTCGTAGGTATATACCTAATTATACTCCTAGAAATTGAAAGCAGGGGTTCAAACAGATACCTTGTACACCAATGTTCATACAGCATCTCAGAATACCCTAAAGGTAGAAGCAACCCAAGCAACCCATTAACAGATGGATAACAAAATGTGGTATATTCAAGTAATGGAATAAAATTCAGCCGTAAGAGACCGATACATGCTATGACTTGGATAAACCTTAGAAACATTTTGCTAAGTGAAAGAAGCCAGACTCAGAAGGAAAAATAATGTGTGACTGCACTAATAGGAGATACCTGGAGTTAGTGCATTCATAGAGACAGAAAACAGAGGTATAGGGATGGGGAAGTTAGTGTTCAGTGGGTAACAGGTTTCCATTTGGGATGATGAAAAAGTTCTTGAGATAGTCCTAATGTTTGCACAACAATGTAAACCTATTTAATACTACTGAATTATAACTTTAAAAATGGTGAACATGATAAATTTTGTGACCCAGGCTTCTATTATATTCTTACTAGAGGACCAGTGCATGAATTTGTGCATCACTGGGGTCTCTTGGCCTGGCCTGCAGGATTGGGCCAAAACTGGCTCTCCAACATCCCAAGGGGTCTCGGATTGCAAGAGGGAGCAAGCCAGGCCGAGGGAACCCCACCTGTGCATGATAGAGCCTGGGGAGGGATGCCTGGAGGACTCCAGGGCATGTCCAGCCCATCTTGCTCAGTCCTGATCAGCTGGACTCCAGCAGCCAGCTCACCTACTGATCAGAGCATCTGCCCGTTGGTGGTCAGTGCACGTCATAGCAAGCAGTTGAGAGGCCGTAGCATATTATGCTTTGATTGGTTGAATGGCCAACCAGACACTTCGAATGTTAGGCTTTTATTATATAGGATAGCCTTTTTATTTTCAAAGACCAGTATGTTCTGAGTTAGCACTCATGCAGACTGTGTAGATACTGAAGTGAGGTTAAGAAAAGATGGAAGGCCCTGGCTGGTGTGCTCAGTGGTTAGAGTGTCAGTCCAAGCACTTAGGTGGCAGGTTCCATCCCCAGCCCGTTTGGGGCACATGCAGGAGGCAACCTATCGATGTGTCTCACACATCATTGTTTTTCTCTTTCTCTCCCTCCTTTTCACTCTCTAAAGATTAATGGTAAAAATATCCTCAGGTGAGGATTAACAACAAAAAAGGTGAAGTGGTATGGGTGAAGTTTCCAGCATCTTAAGCAATTAAAAAATGTTCCCCTTCCTCCCTCCCTCCCTTTCAAGTTGACAGGTAGCCACCCTCTGCCTCACCTTTCATTTTGTCCAAGGACTGCTACTCTCAGATTCTATTTGTCTTGCACAAAAACCTTCCAATGTTTTACCACTCCAGGCCTTGCTAAAATTTTCTCCTTCTGTTTATTTTCAGGAGATGGAGGTATGTTATTCAACTCGCAGTGGCTGACAATGTATATGGCTTAATGTAGTGGTAATGGCTACAGGCATTTGTGTTGTTCTGGTAGGCTCTCCCGTTCTTTAGTTTTGTTTTCACTTGTGGTTTGTTTGTTTAGAATTTGTGGAAGTAATTTCCTTACCAAAGAATGACCTGATGAAGAGACTTGAAGGTAAGCTTTCCTGAGATTATTACCAAACTTTCTCTGGTTTCCTCCTCCCCATCCCCAGCAAAGGGGAACTAAGGAGAATTGTGTCTTTATATTCTTCCTCCTTAAAGTCAAATACCTAGAAACTGTTGTAAAGCTGCAGTTGGCCAATAATACTTTTCCTTTCTGGTGGCATAGAATTTGAAAATAGAGCAAAACATCCCATGTCAATGAAAGCTTTCACCTGAGCTTTCGGCCGGGGGCTTTTTTTCTCCTATAGAAGAGTCAACATTATATTCCCACTAGTTAGCCCAAACTATTCTACACCTTAAATCTTTAACCCATGACAATGCAGAGGCGTAATTAGATATCACTTAGCTGATTCTCAAATATGCTAGTTATTAGATGGTTCTTTGTGCAGGTATAAGTTAAAGAATTGAATAATATTCCTTCTATAAATATTGATATCTACTGTATGCCAAGTGCAATGTGCTGATATAATGAACCATACAAACTAGCTGTGTGACCCTTAGTAAATTATTGGTCATATAGTTAGCAATTTATTGTGAAATTCCTGGCCAGCTTACCTGTTAGGGATTTTTTTTTAAATAAAATAAAAAATAAGGTTATGTGGACAGATGTTCTTTGATAGAAGTACATCAGGATACACTGCACTGAAGACATGAGAGGCCTTTTAAGAAGCTCTCTGCACAGGCTGAGCGGGTTGCCTGTTCACTTACCTAATTTCTGTTTCAAAAACTAATTCAAAGCCCTGTTTCACCTGAAGCTTTGAGAACAGGCTCTTTCTACCTCCCTTAGGTACCAATGGCTTATAATTTTATTTCTAATGTCTGTTGCTTATTTAAAAAGTAAAGTGGGTCTTTCAAAAACTGCGGTGATTTCAGATTCCCAGAAAGTTTCCATTCCTACTTTGCCATTTTAAAAATTAAACCTAAGGTAAAAGCCACCTTTAAATTCAAAGTCAAAATTATAAATACTTGTACTGAAGACTCAATAATTTATTAGGTATTTCCTCAGATAAAGCCATGGCCATCAATTATAAGCAGGATTTAACTTTGAGTCTGACAAATCTGATTGGGTTTGAGGCTCAAACATTTATTAGTTATGACTTTGAACAAGTTTCATATTCTCTCTGAGCTTCTCTCATGTATAGACTAGATAGCCCCTAGTCAGTCTGCGGAGACATGAATAAATGGGATAATGTTGACAAACAGTGCTTAAATGTTATATGCTTTTTATTTTTTTATATCAGCAAATTTTATCTTTTAATTCCTTCTTCCTTCCACCTAAGTTAACTTCCCTTCTGGCCTTAGAAAAGGGGGAAATATGAAGCGAGACAGGGAGGAAGGGAGGAAGGTAGAAAGGGTTATAGAGAAGGGGGAGGGGTAAAAGAACCAGTTCTTCTAGCTTTACTAGAATCAAAAGATAGTAATCAAATCATTTATTCATCACATTTGAAAAGTAGGAAGGTTCTTGAATTTAGCTTGCTACAAGGAATAAGCTTTCAACACTTAGCAAGCACCTGCATGCAGAGGAGGAGGACATAACCCTGCCTCTAAGAATTAAAGTGTCTCAGCGTGTCCCTAAACAAGTGGCTAGGAAAACAAAACAAATTTGAAGTCTGATAACCTCCATTAAAGTTCTTTGTAATAAGTCTGAGATCTCACTTTTTTTTTTAAATATATTTTATTGAATTTTTACAGAGAGGAAGGGAGAGGGATAGAGAGTTAGAAACATTGATCAGCTGCCTCCTACACACTCCCTACTGGAGATGTGCCTGCAATCAAGGTACATGCCCTTGACCGGAATCAAACCTGGGATCTTTCAGTCCACAGGCCAATGCTCTATCTATTGAGCCAAATCAGTTAGGGCTCTGAGATATTTTTTATAGAATTCTAATCCTACCATGCACACAGTTAACATGTATGTGCAAAATTATCCCCTAGCAGCAGGAAAGATGAATGAGTCTTCAATAAATGAGTATTCATCACTATACAGCTTCATATTAGCAGAGTCCAATAGTGAGCTATAAATGAAAAAGTGAATCTATAAAGCTTTGCTATTTTAACACACAAAATCATCATCTCTGATATGCTCTTCTATCTTTATTCTTTTTTGCTCATCCCAAGCTGAAACGTAACCCTGCTTTTATAGAGGCCCATTGCACAAAATTTGTGCACAGGTGGGGTCCCTAAGCCTGGCTGGTGATCAGGGCCTATGGGGGCCATCTTGCCCAGTGCTGATCAGGGCCTGCCACCTGCCACCTGCCACCTGAGGCGTGGGACCCCTCAGGAGGCTGGCTGTGGGAGCACACTGACCACCAAGAGGCAGCTCCTGTATTTTGTCTGCCCGCTGGTAGAACTTGTTCCAGTTGTTTGGTCATCATGGTCACTTAGGCATATGTGTGTGTGTGTGTGTGTGTGTGTGTGTGTGTGTGTGTGTATGTATATATGAATATATGTATATACACACACACACACACACACACACACACACACACACACACACACAGTTCCACTAGAGTAAGATCCTTGAAGGCAGAAAATGTCTTGTTCACTTTTACCTGCATCTAGCATAGGGACTGGTGTATAGTAATTGCCCAGTAAATATTGACTGAATGACAAGGGGTATTATCTTCTATTAACATCATTGTCTGACTTATATTCTTTGCTTCCTGTAGCACTGGTAACTGAAGAACATCTGACAGTGGATGCTAGGGTCTATTCCTATGCTCTGGCGCTGAAACATGCAAATACAAAGCCATTTGAAGTGCCCTTCCTGAAATTTTGAAGCCTGAGGAGAGTAGCCATGTTTTTGTTTTATAAATAAGGCCATAAGGTCTCCTTCACTAAGACTTTGTATTCAGCTAAATTTAATGGAAATTTGAAATTACCTTTTTAATAAAATAAAAAATATGCTTGTGGTGGTATGGAATTATAATTATAGGTAAGCTATAGTCTTCATTTAAATGCTAAATGCAAATATGTTTAATCCATTTTCTTTAACTTAAGCTGTTATCTAACCTAATCCAAGAAATTTATTAGGTATTCCTAATAAACTCAAGGGGTTAGAAGAGACCTGAATTCTATATTAGGTCAACATTTTACCTCTTGCAATAGGCATCTCAGGATAGATTTTGTATGAATACAATGAATTTACACGAAGCACTTAATTTCAGATTTTTTTTTATTTTTCCAACACAACTGAAACAGTTGTATTAAATAAAAGTTTATTGTCTACTGTTTACACTCATGTTGCTGCTACAAAGTACAACAACGTACACAGATTCCTAGCATGAATTACTCATTGTTCACCCCCACTGAACTACAGACACTGCTTGAGAATTACGTCTCTAGGGATTAAAAAAAAGAAAAACACAACTGGGGCATAGTATCTTGAAAGATCTTTCTCAAGTGACTTGGGATCCAAAGGCATAGCCAATACAGTAAAAACAGCACCAACCGTGCTGTCACTGGGAAGGAAGAAGAATGGAAAACATGAATAGTAATTACAAGCAGTTTTTCTAATGACAGAAGCTTGACTTGGCCCATCTGGGCTAAGTGGCTGCTTTGAGAAGGGACAAAGGGAAGGGATGAAGAGGGAGGGCTGGAACATGGATGCTACACAAAAAGTATAAAAATTATATCTAAAATATAGATAAGCCCAAAATACTGGAAAGTGGCAATTTAAACTATATTTTAAACAAGTGGGGGAAATGCTGAGTGTTTTGAATGTGTGCAAAACTGATCCACATTACCTCACCGTCAAAACAACACGGCAAGGCAGGTACATTGGTTTCCAGCATCACAGGCAACACTACATGTACATGTTCTAAGGAGTAATGTAAACTTCAGTTTTAAGGCAGCTGGTACTAATGCTGCACACAGACTTAAGCTTGGTGCCCATTTCAAAAATGGGACAGTTAGCACTTAAAAAAAAAGGGGGGGGGGGTGGAGTCAGCATTATTTGACAAAAACAATGTGTCAAAATGTTTTCCCTTCACACAAAAATATTGAAACATTTAGAAAAACAAAGCACCCATCCCACCTACTTCAGCCTGTTCCTTAACAAATATTTCAAAATATTGATAAATAATAGTGACTGCAAGCAGAATTCCAGTGCCAGAGCCAATGGCCCCTAAGAAGTCGGCCAACACTGACAGGGCGCCAATACACAAACCGCCGAATGCAGCTGCGGTGGGGATATACCTGGAAGACAAAACCAAGTCAGGCAGCAGAGGGGACTGAAAAGGGGCAACAAAAGCAGTAATATGCATGTAGAAGTGTGATTAATCTAACAGAAGTCTGCAGTACTGGTGGGCTATCCATAGTGGTTACATGTTGATGAAAACTGACGAAGGGAATGACTTGCTCCCTGATTTTGAAAAGCCAGTTAACAGCCACGAAAGGCATAAAGATTTTGATCAGATCAGAATCCTCAACTAGATTTAAGTATTAAAATGTTTAATATTTTAAAATGGGTAACCTTTAGCTCCTTCTAAATGAACAGTGAATTTTAAAATGATTTCTAAATGACATATTTATGTGACAAGATTTGGATAATCTTCTAACAGTAACTGGGCCATGGCTGCATGTTATAACCACCTGGAGAACTTAAAAATAATGGGATTGTATTTAAAATACTCTCCAGAAAGAAAAAGAAAAAAGATTAGGGTAAAATGACAAAATAATAACTATTAAAGCTAGATATACATGGGTACATGGCAGATTCATTATACTATTCTCTGCAGTCTATGTTCTCAATAAATAAAATTCAAATATAAATACTAGTGCCTGTTCAAATAATTATGGAACAATTGGATATCCACATGCAAAAGAATTTGAATGCCTATCTCACACCAAACAAAACTTAGTTCAAAGTAGATCACAGACTGAAATCTAAGCTGAGACTCCTAAGAGAAATCTTCATGACCTTCCTTGGGTTAGGCAATGGTGGTTTCTTACATACAACAGCAGCACAAAGCATCCAAGACAAAACAGATACAGTGAACTTCATCAGAATTAAAAACTTGTTCTTCAAAGGTTACCATTAAGAAAGTGAAAGGGCAACCCAAAGAATGACAAAATATTTGTAAATAATATACCTAACAAGAGACATCCAAATGTTCTTTAAATAATCTTACAACTCAGTAATAAAACAAAAAACAATGAGCAAAATAGCTTTGGCTGGTTTGCTCAGTGGTTAGAGCATCAGCCCAAAGGTTCATGGATTTGATTCCCAGTCAAGGGCATATACCTCAGACTTTGGTTTGACGCCCAACCCAGGTGGGGGCGCCTTTAGGAAGCAAGCAATCCATGTGTGTGTCTCCCATCAAGCTCTTGGATCTCTCTCACCCTCCTCTCTCCCTTCCACTCAAAAATCAATGGGAAAAATATCCTTGGGTGAGGATTAACAAAAAACTAATTAAAATGAGCAAAATATTTGAACAGACATTTTTCCAAAGACAATACACAAATGGCTGATGAGCACATGAAAAAATACTCAACATCATTTCTCATCAAGGAAAAGCAAAAACCACAATGAGATATCGTTTCATACCCAGTAGGTGGCTATATACTAATCAAAAAGCAAAAACTAGTGCTGGAGAGGATGTGTGGCAACTGGAACCTTCACACATATATAGCCCCTCTGTAAGGCAGTTCCTCAACATGTGAAACAATTACTGTATGACTCAACAATTCCATTCCTAGAGAAATGAAAACATACTTCCACACACACTTTCTATAAGTATGGTCATAACGGCATTATTCATAATGGCCAAAAAGTGGAAACAACCCAAATACCTATCAACTAGTGAATGGATAAATGTTATCCACACAATGGAACATTCACAGATAATGGATGAACTTTGAAAACACTATGCTAAGTAAAAAAAAAAGCTACTCACAAAAAATTATATGATTCCTTATATATGAAATGTTCAGAATAGGCACATCTACAGAGACAGAGGGTAAAAAGTTTCCTTGGTCGAGGGGGCGAGAAGGGTTGGAATGGGAAATAACTAATGGGTACAAGGTTTCTTTCTGAGTGGTGAAAATGTTTTTAAAATTAGAATATAATGATTACACACACTGAATATACTGTTTTTAAAAAATTAAGAACACTAAACCATATACTTCAAATGAGTGAATTACACAGTATGTGAATTATACCAATAAAGCTGTTACCAAAAACTGGGACCCACCCACTCCAGACCAAAGAAATCAACATTCCTGAAGATGGGATGTTAGTAGTTTTTAAAAGCTCCCAGGTGATTTTCTGTACAGCCAGCCAATAATGAGAACCTCCCATCTGTATCTTAACACTTGGCTGAGCTGTGAAGAGGAACATAATTCCAATTAAATGAGAACAATTAACTTTTATGTTAAATTTTGGTCCTTCTGTGTGAAGTAGAAATGCTGAAAATACGAATTTAAACAAAGAACATTTGGCAAGAAACGAAAGACTGAAAAACTGAGTATATGTTGCCTGCCCCCACCCTGCAAAAAATGAAATCAAATGACCTTACCTATTAAGCTCATGGACCATAGACGTATCTCTGTGGCCCCTCATTACCATCTGCTGTTCTTTAAGCTGTTTAGCAACCTGTCAAGAAAAACACAACTTTTAAAATCAAACCAGCATTACACTGTTCACTATCACTCGGTTCTGTGTGAAGTGCTTTTTATACACTAATAAGGTAACAAGAACCCCGAAGTAGGCACTGGCATATCATTCCTATTAAATCTAAGGACACTGAGGCTACAATACTGCACAACCACAGTACCCATAAACTAAGCCAGTGTTCTCAATCATTTTTCTCTATCACCCCTCAAGAAAAATTAATACTAAGAAATAATATTTTGTCAGGTAGGGTTGAGCTTTGGAGAGTCACAAACCATTGTAAAGTCTATGTTTCAGCTATTAGGAACCAATTTTAACCCTATAGGGAGGTCATATTACCTCATTATTAAAGTATGAATTAAAGTTTAATTTACAAAAATATGATTTGACATCTAAAATTTATAAATTATTTTTATTTTGAAATAAAGCAAATACTTACATCTTTGGCTGAGGAACCAGACACCTCTATCCACGTCTTGGAAAAGAATGCACATGATCCCAGCATAAAGATGATATAAACAACTACATGGACAGGATCCTCAAATATGGCACCCATAGACTCAGGAGGAGAAAGATAATAACAAAGGCCTCCCACTGGGTAAGAGCGAGCAGGTCCTCCCCCACTCACATCCTACAGAACAAGAAGGAAAATAACAAATAGCCAACCTAACTTATCAAGCATACATTTTTATAACTTTTCAAACTCCTCAAAAATTATGACAATGGTTTAAGCTCAAAGCACCTACAGCTAATGGCTATAAATAAGGATTTGCTTTTATATCTAATATCTTTATTCCTTCAAAATTATATAGTGAGCATCTCTTACATAAAGATGTAGATATATTAATAACAAAAGAGTGATTTAAGAAAAATATATATAAAATAGAAATAAGACTACATTTATAGTCAATCTCTTTTTTTCCCCCTGGTTAATTCTAAGGATATTTTTCCATTAATTTTTTTTTTTTAAAGCGAGTGGAAGGGATGGGGAGAGACAGAGAGAAACATCTATGAGAGAAAGAAATTGAGCCTCCAACCAAGGCACACACCCCTTACCAGAATCGAACTTGGGACCCTTCAGTCCTCAGGCCAACACTCTATCCAGTGAGCCAAACCAACTAGGGATATAGTCAATCTCTTATTACATTTAGAATTTAAAATTTTCTAAACTATATAAAAGTATGCAATGAAGGCCTGGGGAATGACAGGAGCAGAGAGGAGTAGGGTCATTGAGGAAAACAAGAAGGGTACAGCTGTAATACTTCCAACAAAAGAGAATAAAAACATAAAAAGAGCCGAAACCGGTTTGGCTCAGTGGTAGAGCGTCGGTCTGCAGACTGAAAGATCCCAGGTTCGATTCCGGTCAGGGGCATGTACGTTGGTTGCGAGCACATTCCCAGTAGGGGATATGCAGGAGGCAGCTGGTCGATGTTTCTCTCTCATCGACGTTTCTAGCTCTCTATCTCTCGCCCTTCCTCTCTGTAAAAAATCAATAAAATTAAAAAAAAAAAAAAACATAAAAAGAGTATGCAATACATTAAAACCCTTTCTTAAACATGGTTCTTTCATTTCAAAGAATTCTATTAAGAATGTAATCAAGCTGAGACCGTTTGGCTCAGTGGATAGAGCATTGGCCTGCGGACTGAAAGGTCCCAAGTTCGATTCCAGTCAAGGGCATGTACCATGGTTGCGGCCACATCCCCAGTAGGGGGTGTGCAAGAGGCAGCTGATCGATGATTCTCTCTCATTGATGTTTCTAACTCTTCTCTTCCTCTCTGTAAAAACTCAATAAAATATATATATTTTTTAAAAGAATGTAATC